TGTCTGCAGAAACAGAAACCAAATAGCGTCGAATACATAAAGAGTCTTCGAATAGAAAGTATATAATACACATTTACCTAGTCCTCCATGAAAATAAATCTGCTTTGTGGAAAAATATGTGACGTGCAAAAGGATATTTTATAATGTTGATCAGCATCAACTGCTTAACATTATCGAACTGAGCTTCCTCGATAACTGCTAGAGATGTTTAATGTTATCGTGTGTTGCAAATTATCGCAGATTACTATTTAATCGATAACAGTAGGTTTTTAGCGCCGGACTTAAAGCTCGAATATCATATCATATTACCAAAAAATATAAAAAAAAACCGAAAGGATTTTCTTTTTTAAGTTTCATGCACTTTTCTTTGACTAACCTGAATATTTAATTAAAATCAGAAAATAAACGTAGAACTTTTTCAGGAATGCACCGCCCAGTAATTGTTTTTATTATGCCGTTCAGGAGTTATAAATTATATTTATCTCATATTCGCCCACTTTACAATAGTTGTTATTTCATATTTTTATGTAAACAGCAAGCGTAGCCAAAGAGCAATTGGCATTTGACCTGTGCTTGCATTTGTCACGCCCAGCCGAAGCCCTGCGGCAGAGTTCAAGGGTCACACAAGCTGCTCAGATTTCAATTGCAATAAATTGTATGACAATGTGTTTCCCTCCACCCCCGCGCTGCTAACCATATATCTTTGTTTCTTTCTACTTGCCATTGACACCTATAATTTTGTGTGCATGAGTGTGTGTGTGTGTGTAAGTGTGTGCGTGTCTGTGTGTGCATGTGTCAGCTGGCCTTTTGCTGTTGACAGCTCAAATCAAATGAAAAATTCACATCTGTCGATTTGATAAACAAAAACAAGTTAGATTCATCTAGTTAAGATTGATTTGCAAATACCCTGTAAACTCTGGCAAACTTTTTCAATTACAAAAAATAAACAGAAACCTTTGAAACCGTTTGAATTTTGAAAAAGAAAAGGATATTTTTTGGATATGAGTATCTATATGAGAACTTAGACCGTTATCGATAGCACGCAAATGGCAGGAGCTATCGATAATTTAACTTCTACCTCTTATAGGCTCTGAAATAGACAGACTGACAGACGGGTTTGGCAAGAACAAGTCGAACACTGATGCTGGTAGAGATGATGTACATGCATGTATTTTTCTTAGGTCCACATCTGTTACATAACAACCCCAAGTCGTTGACAGTGGGTACAGGGTATCAAAACAAATGAATAATAAATTGTGAGTAAATCGCTTGGCATTTGTGCTGCGATATATTTGGAAATATCTTGCACCAACAGCTTCACAAACTCAAGTCCCTTTGCAATGCAGTTGCTTGTTAAGTGGTTTGTCTAAATGAGGGAAAAGCAGCGTTTGTTAGATGCCCGCTTAGCAGTTGACCCTCCCCCCCTCGACACTGCTCCCCTTCGGGTGCTCATAAAGAGCACAGATAATGAAATATCATTTGGTTGCACTTGGCGGCTGTTGAAGTTGCGGCTGTCAATTGGGCCGCATATGTTTAGCATTTGGGTATTAGCCAAATTATCAATTGGCCAATTTGGTGACAAGGGGCAACAAAAGCGCAACGCACAAAAAAGCAAGTGTCAGTTTCGAACGAAATCAATAAACTTTGAATGGGGCATTGAACAACTGATAGACAGACACACAGACGGACGGACGGACGGACAGACGGACGGACGGACGGACAGTAGGTGCAATCAGGCAGACAGCCATGCTGCCCCACCCCACGCCCCGCCAATTCATCCATGGAAATCCAGTCGTATGCGCAACGAGTTTGCTCCAATGCGACATTTTGCATGATTTTGCTGACATAGAAGTTTGCTGACTGTTGACATGTGGTGCAGGGGATGGGGTGCTGGAAGGGATGAGTGGGGAGGGTGGGGTAGCTAAACCTGATTGCCGTTTAAATTACGAAATCATGCATGTCAATGACAGGCACTAGAATGCCAACAATCAGGGGTTTGATTTTGAAATTATGGAGCATTTGTGTTTTGTAATTAGACCCCAAATACTCGACTACTCGACACAACAGCTGCTGTGACTGTCAGTGTGTGTGTGTGTGTGTGTGTGTGTGTATTGTTGCGCAGCTTAATGTGCCAATACTTTGAGCACTGGCCACGGCCTCATCCTGTAAAACCTAACCACATGCCGCAGTGTTGGCACACAAATTGTAAAATGATCCTCACCAAGCACTCAAGGATAGCCTGAAAATTTCGCTCTGTGTCTCTGTCTGCCAACTGTGAAATATAATCGCTCAAAATGGATGCGTTGATTATCAGACACACTCACACACACACACACACACGTATGCGCACCTTTGAGTGTGTTAGCCGTGTTAAGAGCGGCGCTTTGAAGTAGCTTCAAATTTGTTAACTGGGCAAATAAAGAGGCGAAAAGCCGCTTAAATTGTTAATAAACTGTTGGCCAAATCGAGGCACATGTGCTCAATATATCCATAGCATTAATATTTTAATATAAGGGCAAGAGGGAAAAAGAGAGAGAGAGAGAAACAGAAGCTAGCGGCTGGTTGCTGCTGGAGAAGATGTCTGCTTAGAAAAAAGGTTAAAGTGGGGCTTACAACTTAAGAAAACATCTCTTTCAATAAAAAAAACAACCAGTAATATACATACATAAAATATCGAATGCATTTCTAATAATAAGCTCTTGTAATCTTTTGCCTGCTCAATTTCAACAGATTTCTAATTAATACCTCTTGATTTCTTGTAACTCATTTTGCCCATATCCATTCTTACACACTTATTGCAATGCTATTCCATGGCCAAGCACAATTTTCAATTAAAGCCAGCTCGAATATGAAATTGAAGTAACTTTTTCATATGGTTGCATAACCAGAATATACGCTAGAGCTGCAGTTTTATAAAATTACACACGCACAACCACTTGACTAATGATAAATATGAATATATATATATATGTGTGAGTTGCACTATATATTTATGTGCGCTTGCCATGTTCAGCTTTTAGTTGAGCCGCTTAAACGATGGCAAATTTGAGTCTTTTTATTACTTTTCAATCGTGCAGCGGACTGTGCGGCATGTGGATGGAGGATGCATGGCAAATTGACATATGAGCTGACACATTTGGGGTCTGCCACGCCCTTTGGCAAACTTCAATTGATTTGTGCGGATGAATTTGCTGGCATGTAGTGTTCATCTGTTATCCCCGGCTTGTGTGTGTGTGTGTGTGTGTGTGTCAAGAGCCGCATTTCCACACAAACACAACAATAAAAAAAACCACAGCCAAAAAGTGGACAGCAGCAGCAGCAGCAACAATCCAGCACACATGTAATTCTACTTTTCACAAGGACACACACGCACTCTCGAACACACACTCACACACATGCAGATGCACACACATGCGCACACACACACGCACATATCGAGAGGCATGCACAGTGTCGATGATGATGCGTCAATGCATGCAAATGTTGCTTGCCACAAATAAGTTGGCAAAGTGGTTTTCGGTTTTTGGTTTTCGGTTTTTGCTTGTTACTGCACTTTGCCAGTGTTGCTGTGGCACTTGTTGTTGCTGTTGTTGTTGCTGTTGTGGTTGTTGACTGTGCTTAACTCAGCTCAATAGCTCTGATTTGCATAATATGGCAACGCCATGCAACAATTTCCTGCTGCCGGCCCTTCACAAACCAACAAATTTACAAATACAACTTATTAGGGTTATATATGAAAAATCCAACTAGATTTCTGCCAATTTGATCCTTGTTGCCTTGTTGTTTTTGTTATTGTTTTTTTTTTTTTTGTTTGGGCACTCAATCAAACAAACATTTCATTATTCTGTAGGCAGCCAAACTAAACCAATATTTTGTCAGTCGTTGAGTGGAAAGTGGCCGTCACCCCTCCCCCCCCCCCTGGCGTGGTCAATATTCGGGCTCTTAGCTAATAGGATTTTGCCAACTATTGTTGTTGGGCGGGCCAGGCAATTGTTTTTGTGTTTTCCCAAAAACACACACACAGCGGAAATTGCGTACTCAGCTTCTATGCGGCAGCCTGGCAACGCTGGTCATAATTTTTGCATTTCATTGTGGTAAATCAAATGATTGTCAAGGAGATGGTACTAAATCGAGTTAAATAAGTCAATAAATTAAATTAAATAATTAATTCAGCTGTATTCCAATTGGAATTCAGCCTGCCTGTGCCCCCCACCCACATCTGGCTAGAGGATTGTTGTAGGTGCCGCCTTGAAATTGGTGACACGACACAGAACCTACGCTCTACGTGCCTATGTGTGTGCGTGTGTGTGTTTGCGGGGGTGTGTGTTTGCGTTGTTAGCCATGTTATGGTCATTTTATGCATTTGCTTGTTCTACAGCAATGCGGCGAGTATGAATTGTGCCCCAAATTGACAAGTGTTTTAGTGGGTGTGGCAGCATGTGACAGCAAGACCAAACTGAAAGCTTGACAGTTGCTCCGACCAGCGGGGCAAAGTAAGTTACTGCTGTTACTGCTGTCACTGTAGCTGTGACTCAAGTGGCTGCAACCACAATATTTGATTTTATGTAGGAACCATGGGCACCATGGGGACAACTGTGTGCTCAAGTGTAAGTGCCGTAAACAGGCTGCAAACATAATTTCCTATTGACATGCATTGCGGCCTCTCTCAACGTCATGCAAACTGTGAGAGCTGTCACATAATTAGATTTATTTGCCAAGTACCCCAAGAAGAGGAATGTAACTTTGAATAATATTGGTTAATGAGGTAATATATATATATATGCATAAGTAACAGAGGTTTTTCAGTCAAATTTAAGTAACAGAAAACAGACCCAAAATAACAGCATGTAAATGGAAACCACTTTAAAATGCTTTTATAATCAAACTACTTAGTAGCAGCTTTAACCTTTGATTTATAAAAAATTCGTCAATAGCCAGCTCTCAGTTGCCTGAACATAGATTATTATGTGTATATATAAAATTTAAATATATGTACTTACCTGAAAATCACATCCACGCAGGTCAGCTTATTTCCTTCTATTAGTGTTTCTATGTATAAATCTCTGGAAAAAAAGAATTTAAGTTTATAAGTAAAATTGATTTAAAATTTTCTTATATATATATAAATCCATACATATGCATAATCATACATACGCACATACACTCATATATACATATATACATCTCCACTTATCAACTTACCAGCATCTCCCCCTCCTGCTCTACCAACACAAGTTGCTCCTTCACCGGCCTTTGGAACCAACGTTGTTGAATTTCGGCGGGGTCTACTTGAATTTATGAGAAGAATAGAGCATTTGATAAAATATGTTTTTTTAAGCGCATACGCATGCGCACATATTTACATATAACTACCATCATGCATGCATGCATACATACATACATACATACATACATACATACATACATACATACATACATACATACATACATACATACATACATACATACATACATACATACATACATACATACATACATACATACATACATACATACATACATACATACATACATACATACATACATACATACATACATACATACATACATACATACATACATACATACATACATACATACATACATACATACATACATACATACATACATACATACATACATACATACATACATACATACATACATACATACATACATACATACATACATACATACATACATACATCTACATCTACATTTACATCAACATCTACATCAACATCTACATCAACATCTACATCAACATCTACATTTACATCAACATCTACATCTACATACATCACCACTTACCCGCTCCACCGCCTTCTGCTCCACCGCCGCAGGTTGCTCCTCCACCGGTCGTTGGAGCCAACGTTGCCTGCCTTGCTTAATATCAGCAGAGCCTACTTAAATTTTTGAGAATCGAGGAGGAGGGCCCTTAAAAGAATGTTTAGTTTTAATTTGACTTGGACTGCGTTGAGTTAAAAAGAACATTCGTGTGTGTGTGTGTGTGCGTTCACAACTATACATACACACACATACATACATACAAACATTCCTACACACACATACATACATATACACACCCACATACATGCATATATACTGCAAAATAAGCATTTTTTACGCTAAAACTGTTTTTTTCTGCCTGTCTGCCTGTCTTAAACAACTTAAACGATTATATATAGATAGAAATATGTATATACAAATATATATAACGATCTAAATATACATTTTTACAAGCATTTAAGAGAAAATATATCTTATTTTTAAACAAAGCTTATTTATTTATAATTTTTATAGTTCAGACATTTTAAAATAGAGCTCTGATTTTGAAACCATAAGGGCTTTTGGAATATTTGTTATAAATGTTATTCCCCATGAATATCTTCTTATAAATATAGCAGACCATGGTTTGAGTGAGTTATGTTATATATATTAAAAATATAATTAAAATGTAAAGAGCAATGCAAAGGACGAACTACACACCATATCCAAAAGCGCTTTTGCATATTGGCCACTCTACAGAGCTCCATTTGCAACCCAGTTTGCCAAATAAGATTTCCAAAACAGCTGCAAACGAGTTACCATCAGTAAATCAGCAACAGGCATTTAACAATTTCAGCTGCCGCATGTCCCAAAATTTGGGGGCAAGCTAAAACCCGATGCAATGCACCGCAGCAGCAGCTCTATTAGGCCTAATCAAAGCTAATTCAGCTAACACACATAGACACACACACACACAGGGAATAGCATATGTGCACGAAACGTTTGGGGCGTTACTGTGGCATGCGGCAAGAGGCAGCGAGACAGGAGACGCAATCATAAAATCTGTGCGCCGCACAACCAAGTTAGCATTCAGAGAAGAGCCAGGATTGGGGCGCAGCCAAATCTTTGCTGATGACAAATGTTGCAACTGTTTTGGAATTGCAGTTGGCAGTTGGCAGCTGGTCAGGCGTGGGTCAGCTCAAGTTGCAACAGCAGTTGCAACTGCATCGGTCACTTATTCTTATTGAAATGCACTGCCAGGCGCAAACACACACTCTCACACACAGAGACAAGCTTGGCAAAGTGCAACTCATGAATGCAGCCCAAGGGGGGAGAACAAGAGCTCTACTCGACTCGACTCGACTGCAGTGGTCGCTTTCGGACATGCGTAATTAGGTTTGTTGTTGCCACTAAATATGCGTGTCAAGTTCTAAATGCACTTGCTATGCGTGTTATATGAGCGTGTGTAAGTGTGCGTGGGTGTGCGGCTGGCTAATAACTGCCTTGGCAGTCGGCAAATGTTAATGTCTACGTCTGTGCGGTCGGTCTTCTTGCTCGATGCATTGTTGCCTGCATAAATCATAATTGAAACCTCATTTCCGTTGCAGGCACATTTCACACGCTAGCAACAGACTGAGCCAGTTCCACGCCCACTGCGCTTGTGCCAGGCCACATAATTTGGGTTTGCTTTAATAATAATAAACTGTCATCATCAATACTAACAATTGACAGCTGCTGCAGAGGCTCAGTTGTGGACAAGTTTGTCAAGCTAGCCGAGAGCCAACTCACAATTGTCTGTGTGCGTTAACGTGTTGGGAATTACAATGAGCCAGGAAAGTGCTGCTGTTCCTGTTGCTGCCAAGCAAATGCAATTATCTGCATACTTTCTGGCGTTGGCAATGGAGGGAGAGGGTGTGCGAGGCGCAAGTGAAATTCTATCTGAAAGTAGCGCAAGCTGCCGAGTTGGAAAACGAATTGAGGGCCCATTTAAAATGGAATTTAATGAGTTTGCATGTGTTTTGTCAGGCTGTCTTTGCTGTTAGCAAGCAGACAGTTATTCAAGCACTCAAAACACTCACACATTTACACACAAATACACACACACAGCCAAACAACCATTTAGTTGCTTCTGTTGCTGTTCTGTTGTACTTGTTGCTGTTTGACTTCAATGGCGCCGCCTGCAAGTAGGCAACACACACGAATTTCGACAAATGCCGTAAAGTAGGCAACGGCTTTTTATGCGCCATTTCCCATTTGTTGCTCACTTTCGCCAAGCTGTGCTGATTGACACAACTATAACAACAACAACGACAACAACTGCAATTACTCTGCGCCGCACACTTCCAGTAAGAGCGAACGCTGCACTTTGCTCTGCCGTTCCATTCCATTGCATTCCACTCAGCTGAAGAGCGTCTAAGAGCGAGAGCTGCGCTGCTGCCGATTTCAACTGCTGCGCTCTTTGATTCAATCTGCAGTCAATCGCGCTCTTTGCTTCAACTTGCAGCTGGCGTAGCCGAACCCTGACCCTGGGCAACATAAATTCGTGTTGCCTGAACTTTTTGCACTTCGTACTGGCGCAAGTGCTGCAGGAGAGCAACAAGAAGCGTCCACATCGAATTAGTTAATTGCATAAAAGCAGCGCAGGCCGATAGAGCGGACAGTTTGGCTGACAAAGTAGCGCGAATGCGTCCACTAAAAAGTCTGGCCATAAACAATGCCAACAAGCTGCAGGCGTGACGCCAGGCCGGATGGTAAAGAGGGACAGTTAAGAGGAGTTGCATGCAGTTACTAACTTTGCTGTTGTTCAAGCTATAGTAAATGACTAGTCATTAGGCACTTGTACAGGGTATTATAACTTTGTCGAGCAGGAGGCATTCATACAGATTCTTAATCGTTTTGACGATCAGAGTCAAACGAAAATTGTGTCTATTATTTAAAGAAAATTATCTGCAAAGCCTTTTTGAGTTCATGAGAATCGCATAGTAAGGCACTGTCTAGTGTAGTTGAAAGTAAACTGAGGTGTAAAACACGTACATAAATGTATAGTTAAACATAAAATGTAGGTACTATTATTATCTTATTTGAAACTTATGTTAAGTATTAAAGTCTAGTGCAAAGCTGCTTTATGTCGGAAAGAGTATTTAATCTCCGGCAATTTGAATTTAATTGTTTTCTCTTATTTAACTTGTTTTATTTGAGTGTTGCTGGTTCTGCACACTTTGGCAAAGAGCCCCATTGCAGGATAAATGAGTTGAAATTTATGTACTTGGGACGAGCAACACCACGGACAAACATGTTGCACCTATGTAACTAACAACCCGACCAACAACAAACAACCGAGAGGTAACTGCCAACAGCGAACAGCCAAGGGCCAAGAGCTAACAACCAACAGCTAACAACTAACTTGTTATTGTCAGTCGAATCACTTGAATGTGCGCATTGTTCGTATGTCATTATTGTCGTTGCAAACCGGAAATGTCCTGGCGATTGCCTGGCAAGAACATTGTCTCGCAATGGCGCCAGACGGACGCAATGCGCGGGCGGCTGAGGGGGTGGGTGTGCGAATCTCTTGCTGCAAATACTGCACTAAACTCTGTTGAAGGATGGAACACGAAGTGGGGATCAATACACTAATTGGCCGAAGGATCTAATTGTTAGCTGTTCGTGCTTAGGATGGGCTGGAATAGTGCAGAAAGGGAATTGAGATGCCAGTTTCATGTCGGCATCATTGGAATGTGTTGGGCATATTTTTCGCGTCCAAACAATTAAATAAAAACCTCAATTGTAACCCGAATTATAATCGAATTTTGCAATTTCAAAGGAAAACTAAATACAGTTGTGGTAAAATAATCAAAATATTTATAAGCTTTTTGTATATTTGTTTTATTGGATTACTCAATCATTCGAATCTCGCTGTATAATTCCTAACGAAAATATTATTAAATTATTTTGTGCAGTCAGTTATTTTCCCAGCCAATTTTTACGAATATTTTTGCAAATTAATTTTGTAAATATTTGCAACAAAATAATCAGCAGAATACAAATTCAAAAAAAAATAAAAAGGAAAACCGATCATTTCCCTGGAAATCAGTGAAGCGTCAAAACAATTTCAAAAAACACGCACAAACAAACGCGTGACAGCAAGAAATGAAACAAATAATATAATGAACCAAAACCAGAAAAAAAAGTCAAGCATTAAATAATAAAGAAAAAAAAATTGTGAAATTAACTCAAATAGAAGCAGCGCATAAATCATATGTGGCATGACATGTGTGAAATTACTTAATTAAATTAATTTTTGGACTGCGCACAGCATGAAAAGTGTGTGGCGAGTGTGTGTCTGTGTGTGCTTGTGTGCGTGAGAGTGTGTGTGGGCGAGACAGAATAAGAGGCAAATGATGTGACATAAAAAAATGATGACAAATGCGGATAATTTATGGCATGTCAATGCCTGAGCAATTTCTTTAGCTAATTAAACAGCAGCCAATTAGCGGATGCTGGGTAATAAATAAAAAATAAAGATTTAAATCAAAGCTGGCCTAGAAAATGCTGCAAATTGATAGATACCCAACTAAGAGCTAGCTGGCCAGCAAAAAATATAGGCTAAGATTTAAAACAGAACTAAACCAAACAGGACTCTTAATTGAGGCTGGGAGCAGGTAATAACTCAGAGCTTCAGATCTTAAGACTACTGCAAGACGTACGTCATCTGTCTATAATAGTTGCTTTATTTACTCAATCCTAAAACTAATTTATTCCAAGCTGTGTTTTTTCGTTATTATTGTGCATTAATTGTCTTGCCTACTTTTTTGGGCTACACTTTTTACAGCAAGTTTTTGTTAGCAATTTGCACAGTTCTTTGGGAGAAAACAAAAGGCTTTAAAACACAACACGCATACGCCGCGTTGACTGCAATGTTGTTGCCTAAACAAAAATGCGTTGCGCTGTTTGTTGCAGCCTCTTGAACCACACCCGCACACACACACACACACACTCTCAGAAGCTGTGGCATGCATGTCACAATGCGGCAAACAGGGGCAGCAACAACAACAGGAACAACAACAAGAACAAAACATTTAAATCAAAATGATAAAGTTGCATACTTGAGTAGAGTTATGCGAGGGCGTGGGCGGAGGCGTGTCAAGGATGAGATGCTGCGAGCTT